TTCAGTAATTAAGCAGAAGAAGTGCAGTTTGGTAGCATCTTATCCAAATAACTAATTTTATGAAAAGAGGTTGGCTTTTGTGGCTCTTTGCATTTGGCGGAGGCTGTGCAGCTCACAAAGGTTTCTGCCTTTTGATAAAATGTGTTAGGTTCCTTCTGATTTTTTCCCTGTGATAAACTAACCCTTTTCTCCTCCTACAATGCTGACTAGGTGAGATTCCTGCGTAAAGGTGCTTTCCTCTCTTCCCAAAGCTTTAAAAGGACTTCCCTTTGCCTTCTCTTTCAAAAGGAAAAGTCTGCTGCTCCTTTGATTATCCAGAACTGACGTGAATCTTTTTGTCAATTTGCATTAGATACATAGGATATTTTCTCAGTAATGAAGAGCGTCTCATCTAATCTTGTTTTAACCATGCTTTCTCATATTAAATAGTCCCAATATCCTGCCCTGAGAACAGCCACTACGAAGCCTGTGGAAATGCCTGTCCAGCAACCTGCTCTGACCGTTCTGCTCCCAGCACCTGTAAGAACACCTGTGCGCAAATCTGCCAGTGTGATGAGGGCTTTGTCCGCAGCGGTGAGAAGTGCATTCCGGTGGACACCTGCAGTTGCATTTACCAAGGCGTGACCTATAAGGCAGGGGAAGAGTTCTGGGGAGATGAAGACTGCCAGAGTCATTGCAAGTGTGATGCTAAATTAGGCAGGGCTGTATGCCAAAAGTCTTCTTGCAAGGGCAAGACAAAATGCCGCGTGGTCAATGGTGTCCGGGGTTGCCATGCTGTCAGTTACAGTACCTGCATAGGAACCGGAGACCCTCACTATAAAACCTTTGATGGGAAGAAATACGACTTCATGGGAACCTGCATTTACCAAATGGCTGGGCTCTGCTCCATGGATCCTTCCCTTACCCCATTTTTGGTCACTGTGGAGAATAACCACCGAGGCAATAAGGCAGTGTCCTACACCAAAGTGGTGACCCTGGAGATCTACAACTTTACCATCAGTATGAGCCAAGAGTTTCCCCAAAAGACCCAGGTACATAAGCTAATCCAAGAGGGCGTTGGAAAAGTTTATTAATAATAAAAATAAGAGTCATTGCAAGGTTCAAGTTCTCAGGCATAAGAGCTTCAGATGTATTAAGTTCCCGATGTTTCTGAGTTCTTGTTGTTGGTCTATAGAGGTTTCGCTACGATTTCTCCAAATCAGGATGCAGATTGTATAGTATAGACTTAAAGTATATTATTATATACAGCCAATCTCATTGTACACATGTTGTACTCTGACAATAAAGGTAATAATAAAGGGTCAGATATATGGGACTTGCAGAGGTCAGAATAATAATTAGGGAGTATCATCCCTTAACTGATGCCCCCAATATAAATGTTGAAATAGTAAAATAATTTTCTTTATGGTAGAATCCCAAGAGATCCCAAGCTCAGCCTAAAAAGACTGCTCGCTTCTGATTAGGCAGATGACGCCCAGCATATTTTCCTCACTGCAGCTCTTCCAGTCACCGACTGAAGTTATTAGTTATGAAGTATATTAGTGATGTATTTCATAATTGATAGTACTAGTGTCAAGTCTTTTACAGTAGCTCATAACCAAGAAATCAAGACTCAAACTTTAAACTAGGCAGGTGTTTTGGGAAGAAAAGATGGAATTGAGTTAGAATACAGAATCCTGGAAACTTGTAGTTTGACTCTTATTTCTTAGTGAGGATATTTAAAGGGAAAAATTCCCTATTGTTTTTTATCCAGTTCCCAATCGAATATTGGTTTAATAGGGAGGATGAAGTAACTTATTTGATATCTTATATATATTGTACAATATTTTAGAAACATCTACAGAATGTTTGTTCATAGGCTCAGAGAATTTCATGAGAACTAGTGAGGAAATTATTTCAGTTCTCAATAAGCTAGTGTTTTAATTGTTTTTGTAATATTTACAAAAAGTTTTATTTGTTATACTGTTTCATCTAGTGCCAAATTTAAATCACATCTGCAATTTCCTATTTGGGTCTATGTATAGGTTTATTGTTATTATGTTGTGATAGATTTCTTACTTTGCTTATTTATCCAACAGCCCATGGAGTGGAATAGGGGAGACGATCAGTCCGAAAGATAACAAGAACAAACCTACTCTTAATATTGAAAGAATTGTTAGTGCCTTGACTATATTTTTCTGTATCTTAATTCAGGTCAATGGCATCTTTGTGGAACTACCCTTTTCCTATGAAAATAAACTGAGCATCTACCAGACTGGAGTTCACGGCTTCATCAAGACAGACTTTGATCTGAGTGTCAGCTTCGATTGGTACAGCTACGCCAGGGTCATCGTTCCGGACTCTTATGCCAATGCACTCTGTGGCCTATGTGGTAATGCCAATCAAGATCAAAATGATGACTTTCTCATGAAAGATGGAACACAAGCAGAGGATGAAATTCAATTTGCAAACAGCTGGAAGATAAAAGATATTCCTGGCTGCTCTTCTGGGTGCACCAAAAACTGCCCAGTGTGCAGTGATGCTGATAAACAAACCTACCAAGGTCCATCCTACTGTGGGATTCTTACAAGAAAGAGTGGGCCTTTCAGGCAATGCTATGATGCCATTGATCCTCAATCTTATTTTGATGATTGTGTCTATGATACCTGTGTATACGAAGGTCACCATAAGGCCCTCTGTAGTGCCATCAGCTCCTATGTGACAGCATGTCAAGCTCAAGGCATCCAAGTTGAGCCGTGGAGATCACCATCCTTCTGCAGTAAGTCTTCTCTCCTGCATTCAAAGATTAGCAATAGTATTTAGACTTATATATTGCTTCACAGTGCTTTACAGCCCTAAGTGGTTTAGAGTCAGCCTATTGCCCCCGACAATCTGGGTTCTCATGTTACTCACCTCGGAAGGATGGAAGGCTGAGTTAACCTTGAGCTGGTGAGATTTGAACTGCCAAATTGCAGTCAGCTGGCAGTCAGCAGAAGTAGCCTGCAGTGTTGCAGTCTAACCACTGTGCCACCAAGGCTCATAGTTGGCACAAGAGATAAAAGAGAGCCTAACTCCAGTAATAGAAATGGGAAAGTCATTTGATGAAGAGCCCAAGTTGTATCACAGTAGTCTTCCTCAACTTTGTGCTGTCCCAGATGTGTTAAAACCCAACACACCTGAAATGGTGGCAGGTTCAAGCGAGATAATGTTCCAAGATCTGTTGATCCAAGATCTGTGATAAATTGAAATCACCAGCCTGAATTGGAAACAAGGAAAGAGGCTCAACATTAAAATATTAAAACAAGAACAATCTTTTCCCCAAATATATTAAGCACCAGAGTGATTGTGAATTAACAATGCAACCCATATGCAACTTTACAGAACAGAAAACATTTGTACTTATCAGAGTTGAAACCCAGTATTAATCCCCCTGCCCATTTTTTCTGTATTTACTATGGTAATAATTATAATTCTGCAATATATCTTGAACTCTGACCCGTTGTTCCTGGATATATTGCTTCAGTTCAATGTTTTGAGGATTTTTTTTTAAGATGGATGCAACTACAGTTACTATGGTTGTAATAAATATTGATTTCCTATAGAAATTAATGGGACATAGATGGAACAAATGTACTTTAGATTCAACCCATTATACAGAAGTATTAAATGGCTAGTATCAGAATCACTGTATCAACATAAAATACCCTGTTTTGTCCAATGAAAGTTTCACTTTTCCTTTGGCTCTATGCTTTCGATGAATTCATTCTGAGAAATACATTTGTTTTAAAATTCACAGGCATTTTCATGCATACTCTTCTCCACAGAGACTTCCTTTTGGCTTACTTTTCCTAGTATGCACATTTTCTGAATGCAATATTTCAGAGGAAGGTCATACTTCCTCAGTGTTGTAAAAGCTGGAATTTCAAGTCAACTTTGCCAATGGGTGTCTAGTCCATTAAAGAATGCAAGGATGAAGAAAAGCATAATTATTTTCACTTATAATCTATTTAACATAATAACAGAGTTGGAAGGGACCTTGGAGATCTTCTAGTCCAACCCTTTGCACAAACAGGACACCCTATAGCATTCTAGACAAGTGACTGTCCAGTGTTGTGATGAAGCACCCACAACTTCTGAAGGCAAGCCATTCCCCTGGTTAATTGTCAACACTGATAGGAAATTTCTTCCTTAGTTCTAGGTTGCTTCTCTCCTTGATTAGTCTCCGTCCATTGTTTCTTATCTTGCCTTCCGGTGCTTAGGAAAACAGGTTAACTCCCTCTTCTTTGTGATAATTTGACAAGCAACATTTTCTTTATTCTGTTCTTCAGGTATTTCTTGCCCACCCAATGCCCACTATGAGCTCTGTGGCAGTGGTTGTCCAGCTACATGCAAGAGCCTCATCTCACCCCAGACGTGTGATGTTCCATGCCTGGAAGGATGTTCTTGTGACTCTGGATTTATCCGCAGTGGAGATCAGTGTGTTTCAAAGGCCAAATGTGGCTGTTTCTACCAAGGCCGATACTACAAGCTGGGAGAAGAGTTTTTTCCCACCACTTCCTGCCAGAAAAAGTGCATCTGCGTGGATAACGCAACCATAGAATGCCAAACGTTCTCTTGTGGAGCTCACGAGGAATGCAAGATTGTAAAGGGCATTCAAGGCTGCCACCCCTTAGGCTATGGGAAGGCCATTGCGCTGGGTGACCCTCATTTCCTTTCCTTTGATGGAAGGCATTTTGAATTCTACGGCTCCTGTACTTACGCCTTAGCCCAAGTCTGCCAGCACAACCCTCAGCTCCAGAACTTCACTGTGTGGGTAGAGAACGAGAAGCTTGGTCCTTTAGTTCGAATCCGGAATGTGAAGGTCTTCATTCATGGTTACACAATCACCCTTCAGAGGGGAGTAA